ACCGAATACAAAGTTTTCATACTGTAATTAAATAGGTTCACTGTAAGAAGCGATTAGTTACTTTTTCTAAAAAAAAAGTGTAAAGTGTGTAAACCTATTGACAACTTGAAACTGCTGAGTTGACAAGTTAATTTGTTTAAATATGCACATAAAATAGTTCAATTATTAAATTTTATTGTGAACCTGAGGTTTTATTTCAGTATGTTGATGTACTTCTGACTGAAACTGACTATTGAGTAGGGGCCAGGGCTTTCTTATTGTGCATCATTCCCTCATAGCAAAATACTGGTAAGAGGAGTGTGGTTAAGAATATTGTGCACTGTAAAAAAAATCTTAATTTTATGGTTCATTTCCGGCCGCTGGGGTTCTGGAAAAGAAGTAAAATAACGGCTGTAAAAATGACAAAAATTTACTGCAAAATAGCGCACTTTAAATTTGCTTAAATTTAAATTTCTGTAATTCAATATCTGTTCTTTTACGGTTAATGTCTGTAATTAATTAATGTCTGCAGTTATTTTATGTTTTTTTTTTTTTGTTTTGTTCCGGCACTCCAGCATCAAACGAACATCTGTTAGTTTAAAATCCATTAGCAAATAATGCAATTTTGCTTAAAGATTACAAAACTAGGGCAGCACAGTGGCTTAGAGGTTAGTACTGTCAACTTATATAAAGACGGTCACCAGTTCGAGTCCCAGCTGGGTAACTTGGCATTTCAGTGTGGAGTTTGCATGTTCTCCTTGTGTCGTGTGGGTTTGCTCTGGGTGCTTCAGTTTCCCCCACAGTCTAAAGACATGCAGTAAACAAAACTGGCCCTATGAGTGTGAATGTATGGGTGTTTCCCAGTATTGGTTTGCAGCTGGAAAGGTATCCGCTGCGTAAAACATATACAGTTCATTCCGCTGTGGTGAATCCCTGATTAATTAAATAAGAGACTCAGTCGAAGAATAACGAATGAATGAATTACAAAACTACATTTTGTTTGTAGTTTTCAGTTGATTATCTTACACAGATTAGTTGTTCACAATAACAATGTGCGCCAGTAAAATAAACAGTAAATTTGATTTCACATGGACTTTATTCAGTTTTAGGCAACAGGAATACTCACTTTTTAAAGTAAAATCAACTAATTGCTTTATAAGTAAAGGGATTACTCAGCTTTTTTGAAATAAAGTTAACAAATTACAGTTCATAAAAGCAAATACTCTGTATTCATTAGTGATTTCAAACATGTTAGCAGTCATTTCATTTATACCTTGAAAGGTTTACGAACACAATTGAAGAAATCGACGTCCATTTTCCTTTAAACCCAGGAATGGTAAGCAAGAATCACAAACTTCTTTGCAAAAAAGATGTGTGCTTGTAAATCTGAACAAGAAATACTCCCAACATATACATTTACATCCATCATTTTCATATATTTCAAGGTCTTGTACTAATCTGTAGCATCAATTTCAAAAGTGGATCATATACAAAAAGGGACCATTTTGCTTAAAAAAAGAACATAAAAATCTCTCTCTCTCACACACACACACACACAAACAAGGAATGTCAAATATTCTCTAGCAACCTTCCAACCAAACTCAACACTGACAAATCACAGAATTTAGTAGAATAATAGAATTTCAGCCTCTTTTCATATAGTCGACTTTCATAAAACTACCAAAACATTACAAAGTTCACCTGGAACTTCATTATTCAATTGGTTCCCCCCAGCGCTGCACGCTTCATATTACACCTCGTGATATGATGGTTTGAAATGCACATGAAAATAAAAAGACAAAAAGCATCAGGTGTAATAATGTTGACAGAAGGATGGTGAAAATCTGCTGGAGCATCAAGAAAAGATTACGGAGATTACGGAGTGTCACAAGATCCAACACAGTGGCACAAGGCTTACAAGAGCTGCCGTCAGAGCCTTGGTTTCGGCCTACGGAGCTGGTTTGTAGACGCTGCACAAAGATATACACTGTGGATCATCACAATATAAGATTGCCACTAAATACAGAGCACAAGACATTTTAGGTGTCCTACAGTTGTTAGATTATAGGGTGTGTTGTGTTCAGTGTCGTGAAAAAAACAATAATGTCCGCTAGTCTTTTCCAAAGGAAAACCGCAAAACCTTTTTGTAGCTTCAAAACAGTTCACGCAAAAATGAAAATGATCCTATTATTGACTCATTGTCAAGACATCCTAGGTGTATATGCCTTTTTTCTTTCAGACGAACACAATAAGTCTTGTATTAAAGGTCCAGTGACGTGCTTTGAAATGTGCATTTTTACGTAACTTCAACTGAAACAATAGGAGAGGGCAGGCATCCGCTTGTTAAGTGGTGAAGTGTTGGTGACGTATGTAATACTGTTTCCGGGTCTAAGCCGCCACTCATTTGAGTTGAGAAATGATTTGTTTATGATCACTTTTAATTCATATCAAACATTAAAGTTAATTTATATAAAGGCATAGTGTACACAACAATCCCTGGGCTTGCTGCATCACAAATACCATAATTTTAACAATTTATAAAAAAATGAATCACTTTCTGGCCATCGGATATTAGGCATGGACATATATATTGCGATCGTGATTATTGAAAGTATTAAATCGATTTGTAAACGTTTATAATTACCACATCATGAGTCTCCCCATACATTTTAATAGAGCGCTTGGACCCGGAAGCTGCTTCGCCACTAGACACTAGAGAGTGTTTGATTGGTCAAGACTTGATAAGAAACTGAAGTATGCTGACATAAAAATTTTTTTTAATTCTAACGCTTCTTAATGCAAATTTTATGACTGTTTTGGAGCACACTAGCTTATAAATATCTTTAAAACTAACATCTAAAAATCTTTTAGAATTTTCACTTCACAAGACCTTTCCCAAACACACGACATCACAATGTTAATATTATGTTAGATTTAGGTCACCAGCGTCTAAGGACAATGTTATTCTGACGTCCAACTTGAAATGACGATGATATCTGGTTAAAATTAGGTTGTGTTGAAAAATGATCAAAATCCAACGTCGAGCCAACATCTTAAACAATTGTCATATTGACGTCAAATACTGACATTTATTCATCAAGTATGGCAACCAAAATCCAACGTCTGATGTCCACACAACGTCAAGCTGTAACACAGGCCCGGATTAAGAATTCAGAGGCCCCTGGGCACAATGTCTTGCTGGCCCCCCTACCTGGTCGCACCCCTATTATTAAATTAAAAAATTATGATAACATAATATTTTTTAAATAAAATTAATCTATAATGTATTGCCCACATTTTTAAAGTAAATGATATACAGGACATATATTTCTAGTCTACAGAGATTTAACTAATTTTTAAAGCATTTACTTAGTACTAAATGTACTAATACAACTAGTGAAAATTAATGGATTTTATTATGCTTGTTCAAGTTCACTGAAAGTACAAAAAATATATATTTAAGGGCATTTTTAATGTATAACTTCTACACATGTATATAATTTTGATTTAACACCTCACCAATCCAGTTCTATGAATCTTCTATAATACACTTATTAATGATTCCTACTTGTCTTCCTAGTGAAAATTAGTTTATCAGACGCTGGATTCGAACCAGGTTCATGATCACGTCAAAACAAGTTGCCATGCGCTTTACGAGCTACACCACTCGCGCTGCTGTGTGTCGCGCTTTTTAGTTATGTTGTCTCTGTCAATAAAACGGTGATGGGCGGGAATCACTCAACTAGCTTATTTCAACGAGTTTCGCTATTTGCATTTAGCCTATAGACACTCCAAAATCGGCATTCCCCCCTCGCAGAGGCCTCAAGTGCGCACGGGCCCCTGGGCCTGTGCCCATAATGTCCATTGGTTAATCCGGCCCTGCTGTGACATCATTAGACGTTGATATTTTGTTGTTTTTTTAGGTTGCGTTGACATCAGCCTAACGTTGGGTCCTAATTTCAACCCGATTTTAATTTCCAAACAAAATGCAATATAACTTGATGTTGTGGTACAACGGCAATCTGACATCCTGTTGACGTCTTGTGCCTGCTAGATCACTACTTTATAATAAAAGCGAATGGTGCCCAAGATTTTTAAGCTGCAAAAAGTGCATCCAACCACCGTAATAGTAATCCATACAACTCCATTGGATTAACAATTGCTTACTGAAGCAAAGTGAAGGCTTTCTGAAAGGAAAATATTGCAATCTAAAACTTTATATACTATTAGGCTACCTCCGTACATGCATTTTTGAGAATTAATGGATACTTTTTTTGGATGGGTGTACATTTTGGAGCGTCAGCAAATGGAGAACCATTCACTGCCATTACAAAGATAGGAATAACCAGGATAATAAACAAATAATACAATTCCGTGTGTGTTTGCATGAAATAAGAACAAAAAATACATTTAGGATGGCTTGAGAGTGAGTAAATTGTGGAATACTTTTCTTTTTTGGGTGAATTATTCCTTTAAAAAGCCAATATGCACACTGTGTTCACTTAAAGAGATAGTTCACCCAAAAATAAAGCTCTACTCACATTTACTCACCCTTGACTTGTCCCAAACCTCTGAGAGTTTCTTTCTCCTGAATACATAAGGAGATATTTTGAAGAATGTTGGAAACCGGCAACCATTGACATCATTAATATGAAAAACAAATACTATGGAAGTCCAGGGTTACTGGTTTCCAACATATTTTGAAATATCTTCTTTTGTGTTCAACAGAAATAAAATAACTTATAAAGGTTTTGAACAAGTCAAGGGAGAGTAAATGACGGTAGATTTTTCTATTTTTAGGTGAGCAATCCCTTTACCTACTATCTATTAATTTTGATGCACGATTCAAATTAAAATCAACTCAAATTATTTAAAAACATAAAAAAGAGCTACTAATCACTGTTGATTTCCTCAAGGTTCACATTACAGTACTGAGTTGTTAGACAAAAGAGTAATGAAATAAAATAAAACATATACAAAGGCAGAGGAGATCAAATCCAATGCCCGTTATCAACATCAAGATTATTCCCAATATAGTTTATTTCTGATTACAGATATATTATCAGTATAACAGTTATTATTGTTACTGTATATTATTCACTTTGTCTTCACAATTTGTTCAGGGAAGGGCGGCGGGGAGACAGTATGGAGACGGCAGTCATTGTGACGAGGCTTTAGTGGCTATCGTGGACACGCAGTGCTGTTGGAAGTTGGGGGACATGGCCGTATTGCAGCCCAGTCTCTGACGCGGAGCTTTCAGACCCCCGTCGCCCTCTACGATCCAGGGGCTGCTGTCTGACTCCTTACCCAGCAAGCTGCAGCACTCCTGGGACGGGGAACAGTTGCGCTCTCCAGCCCCTAAAGAGGGCATCTGGCCTGGAGGAGAAGGTGCGGAGGGGTCTTGGAGGACACTGATGATGTGATTCAGGAGGTCATTGAAGAACTCGGGAACACCCTCGTAGCCTGAAGAGAGATGAAAAACTAGGATATTATCTGTGGTTGAGAAGACGTGTAATGGTCAGTGTCATCTTTATTTAATGTAAAATACAATTCTCTGGGTACGTTTAATTGAACGTTTCAGATGACAAAAAAATCCACTTGAGGGTGCTGTCTACATTTGAGCAAATCTAAATTGCATTACTAGGTTACATTTTGTTGTATGTTTCAGATAAACTTCCTTCTTGTACATGTCCACGAGAAGGTGGGGCTTGTTGTACAGATCAGCTAGCGAGCCTTTTCTAAACCAAACAAATGGTGTTTTAAACGCAAACGTAAGAGAAATAGGCACTGTGACCACTTAGTTTTACCTTGATTTTACTTTGCTTCCACCTCTTTCATGTTTCACCTGACTCAAACCAGAGCACTCTGCTTTACAAGTACAACACACTACAAAGTGAGCTACAGAGTAAACTGACTATGCAAGAAAAGTTATTTAAATGGCGATAGACAGGTGAGGAAAACTAATTTGATTATTAATTATAAAGCCGTTTTGTGGTGTTTATTTGGTGTTAAAAAATAACCTATTATTTGACAAACCTATAACTCAGAGCAACTTAAGAGCAATCCAGTGACCCCTTTAAGGTTTAAGTTACAGTATATACTTTTTCTAGTTTTGATTGTACTGTATGTTTTGTGACTAAGAAATGTTTTGTCTCTTTTCTCCTTTATTGTGTCCTTTGTATGTCTGCAGTACTAGTCAATTTTTGTGCTTTTGTTCTTTCTTGTTCAGTGTCATACATGTGTATATATATATATATATATATATATATATACACACACAACAGCTCTGTCTGGTTCTCGAATCTGATTGGCTGATAGCTGTGCGATATTCTGCAAATAACAGCACTCGTCTTGCCTCTTCACCCTTGAGTATTACTCTGCCCACATAGAGTGACAGCAGATGAATAAACTCACTACAGCTTGACGAATAATGCAGCTGTTGGACAACATTATGCACTTTTGAGGCTTTTTAGTTGAGAATGTAGTTGTTTAGATTGCAACGATAAAGTTTATTAATAAGGATATTAAATATTTAATAACTAATAATCCTATATTCTTCAATAATATGTCCCTGTAAATATAATTAGTGTTTCATAAGCTGCTGGCATCACACTGCCCCATAGTGTTCATTTTACCAAGAAACTGCAGTCAAACATACTGTATGTTAAATGTTTTTCAGTTTCATAAAAAGTTAAAGAATTTGTGATCTACATTTTAAAAAAATTGTAATTTACTTGGTACAAAAGTTTTTTTTAAATTCTGCTTACTAAGCTAGCAGAACAGTAATTTAAACTTCAACTACAACAACAAAACTTTACTTTTTGGAAAACACAGTGATCAAAATTAGAGAACAGACATGATTGTAGCACACAATGCATTTTTCTGAAGGTTCCAGCAGTGAAAATGAGTGTAGACACTCTTGCTTTGACTGAATGCAGAACCACACCACAGGACATCGCTAGTTTCACCATGACACTTCTCTTCCACGTTTACTGACTTCTTAACACACTTTGGCTTCATCTTCATTAACTTTTTTAATTTCAGTCCTGATTGATACCGAAATTCCAGTATCATGAGAACACTAACTATAACACTAATCAAAAGCAGGCTAACCAAACTTGTCATAGAACAAAAATTACAATGTAATCACTATTCCTTATTGGTTAACTTGCAGCAAAAGAATAAGAATGCAGAAAGGAATGCAGCGCTGTCTTGGCTGCTTAACCGCTCAATCCTTCCCTTAGAAAATATAAGCAGGTAAGTGTGCAACTAAATCTAAAAGCCTAAAAAAAACAGTTATTAAAATCGACATCTTGCAGAGTATCTACCTCAGGTCGACTTTCATAGTATTTGTTTCCTCCTTTAGATGTCAATGACTGCTGCTTGTTAACATTCTACAAAATACTCTACCTAAGTATTAAAAAATAATAACTTGACTTAGCTGATCATTTGCAAAAGTGGCAGAAGGTAGATTTTTCTAATAAATCATTTGTTGAACTGCATCCCAATCATCACAAATACTGCACAAGACCTACTAACACCTGCATGGAAACAGGATTCTCAAAGAAATCAGTCAAGTTTGATGAAGGATAAAAAGTGGAGTTACATTCAGTATGTGGGCCCGCAAGAGTTCTGCAGTGTGGATGGTAACATCAACAGCCTGAAGTATCAAGATATTTGTGCTGCCCATTAGCAGAATAGCGCTCCTTCTCATACTTCAGCTTCCACATCAAAATTCCTGAAAGCAAAGAAGGTCAGGGTGCTCCAGGATTGGCTAGCCCAGTCACCAGACATGAACATTATTGAGCATGTCTGGGATAAGATGAAGGAGGAGGCATTGAAGATGAATCCAAAGAATCTTGATGAACTCTGGGAGTCCTGCAAGAATGCTTTCTTTGCCATTCCAGATGACTTTATTGAAAAGTTGTTTGAATCATTAAAAGAGATGTATGAACGCAGTCCTCCAAGCACATGGGAGTCGTACACAATATTCTTTTTCCACTGCACCAGGACTTTATATTATATACAGTACATTATTTATGTTATGTAACAAGACTTTTGTCTAAGCAAAGTCAGACCTTATTGTCCTAATTTAATCATTAAAAATAAAGGCAAGATCATTTTTTATTTTGGTAAAATAAGCGTAATCTAGAGGCCTCTGCCTTTCATATAGGCCACTTCTGATACCAAATGATCAACTAGAAGTCAAGTTATTATTTATTGTTCCTAAAACTTGGATAGGCAACCAGACTTAGGTAGTGTATAGTTGTTGTTTTTTTGTTTTTTTAATGAAGTGTGCTTCACACAGAGGGGCGAAGCAGGCACAGTAGGTAGTGCTGTTGCCTCACAGCAAGAAGGTCGCTGGTTCGATCCTCTGGTCAGTTAGCGTTTCTGTGTGGAGTTTGCATGTTCTCCCTGCCTTCGTGTGAGTTTCCTCCGGGTGCTACGGTTTCCCCCACAGTCCAAAGACATGTGGTACAGGTGAATTGGGTAGGCTAAATTGTCTGTAGTTTATCAGTGTGTGTGAATGAGTGTGGATGTTTCCCAGAGATGAGTTGCGGCACCTAATTCTCTTAGCACAAAAAGTTCCTTTATAATATAAGCACTGTATAATAAGCACTTCTTGTGTGTATTGCCTCTTCTTGTTGAATCGCTGAATGCTTCCTCAGCTGTAAGGCGCTTTGTACGAAATCATCTGCTAAATGTTAATGTAATTAAATTTTTTTAATAATAATAGCAAAAAAAGAACGCCATTACCATAATTTAAGTCAAGACGTTAGACGATCTAGGGAGTCTCGATTCTGAGCATCTACAGTGATGCAAGCACCAGTAACACTAGCCAGAGATTTCGCATCTATGTTTGCAATAGGATCATTTTAATCCGCCAGACTCCAGGAAGGCTTCAGTCTAATGATCTAGAAGGCGAATGTCTAAAGAAAGCCAGACTCATTACATCACTGATGACAGTGAGAACAGACACTCATGGCCAGTTTTCTGTCAATTATTCAGTCCTGCATCGGTATCGGTTTAAAACATCAGCTTCGTAATTATTTCGAAAGAGCTACATGAAGTACTGACTGTACAGAATATCAATCCACTGCACTGTGTGGCCCAATCACACACAAACTAGAGGTAAGAAATAATGGATTTGACCAGTTATCTAGACTGGTCCTTTTCAATTAATCAACCAATAGTTTTGTACCTTTGATTATTAGATATCTCTCTTGATTTTTGATTTATTCCTTGTAGTTGATGTTGTTATTACGGTTGTTGTTTGTTCATTTTTAATAACTTTCATGTTTATGACAGATTTATGACAAGTTTTGTTGACTTGCTAATGTTAAGTTGTCATGATATGATATGTTAGGATGTATTTGTCAAAGACATCTCAAACAATGTCATCTTTGCATTTAAAAAGATATAACTAAGCAAATTATACCTAAAATAGTTTCCATAAGCATGCATTACATCTCATTCATATTCATCATGTTCTAAGTCATAATTATAATGGTTTCATGACAGTCTTATGAACACCCCCTTCAAGTAATGCATTACTAAACAGATTGTTTTTAATAGATTGTTATATTCTGACAGATTTTAAACCATTCTATAATTTTTTAGAGTTTTGCGTGTGTGTGTGTGTGTGTGTGTGTTGAGCCAAATGTTTGCTCATGTATAACACATACATACCAGGGAATGCATTGATGTCAATGACTGCATGTTGGCCTGTCTGGTTGTTAATGATGACATCGATGCCGAAGAGCGAAACCCCAAGAGATTCCCGCAGAGACTTGCACAGTTCCCTGATGACATCATCGTTTGGTGGCTGGGAAACACCTTCTACATTATCTCTCTGTCAAAATACAAACCAAAGAGGAGTCAGCGAAGGGTTCTGCCTTAAAGGGAAAGTTCACCCAAAAATGAAAATTATGTCATCATTTATGCACCCTTCACTAGTTATAAACCAGTTTAAGGATGTTTTTTTTCTGTCGAACACAAAGGATGATATTTTGAAGAATGTTGTAACCTGTAACCTTTGGCTTTTCCAACTAATAATGTTAAAGGTTACAGGTTTCCACCATTCTTCAAAATATCTTCCTTTGTGTTCAACAGAACAAAATAAAACTAAAACTAGTTTAGACCATAAAGTACTAATGGAATTGCTGCAATGTTCACAAACCAGTTGATTAAGAGCAGTTGGTGGTTTTTAAGATTATTCCAATTGAGTGAGTACAAGATCAATAAACTTGTCAAGTGAACATTCATCTTTTTTTCTTCAGGCATATAGTAATCATTAAGCAAACAAATCATCAATACAAAGCACTTAAAAAGAAAAATTAGTAAAGAAAAATGTACTTTATCATTAAAGTAAAAAATACCATCTTTACGCACACTATATACACTCACCAGCCACTATATTAGGTACACCTTACTAGTACTGGGTTGGACCCCTTTCGCCTTCAGACCTGTCTTACTAATTTGTGGTATAGAATCAAAGATACTGAAAAAAATTCCTCAGAGATTTTGATCCATATTGACATGATAGCATCAAGTAGTTGCTGCAGATTTGTCGGCTGCACATTCATGATGAGAATCTCCTGTTCCACCATCCTAAAGGTGCTCTGTTGGATTAAGATATGGTGACTGTGGATGGCATTTGAGTACAGTTAACTCATTGACATGTTCAAAAACCCAGTCTGTGATGATATGTGCTTTTTGGCGCATTATCTAGCTGAAGTGGCCATCAGAAGATGGGTACACTGTGGTCATAAAGAAATGGACATGGTTAGCAACAAAACAGAAAATATCCCCCACACCATTACACCATCACCACCAGCCTGAACCATTGATACAAGGCAGGATGAATCCATGCTTTCATGTTGTTGATGCCAAATTCTGACCCTACCATCCGAATGTCGCAGCAGAAATAAAAGCCCCTTTCACACATACAGACCTTTCCCGAAAATTGCCGGCAATTTTCTGGAAAGGTTGTATGTGTGAACAGGTCCTTTTTGAAAATACCGGTAAATTCGTTCTGGCTATTTTCCGGAAAGAGAAGTTGTAACATTACCGGCAATTTGCCGGAATGCTGCGCTGTGTGAATGCAGATGGAATATTGCCGTAATAAGCGCGTACACGTCTAGAACGTGCTGACGTGACACATCTGCTTTAGCCAATCAGAATAGTCAGACGCATTTACGTCCGCGCAGTTTATGAGAATAAAAGCCTTTGAATATTTTTTCAGACACATTTAGCTGCTAGAAGTTAGTCAGATAACGTTTATATGTTCTTCTTAATGCCAACTGTGCAAATAATCATCGATGAGATGCTTATGATAAGGCGTTGTTTGTTTACCTTCAAGCTTTGCACGTGTGCCTGTGAAACAGCCTGTGAGCGCATGCACACGCACATATTATGAACATCTCGACATGCAAAAGTGATCCTCCATATGTTTTCATTGAAGTTGTTCACAATACTGATCATCCACAGAGTTTGTAATGTAGTCAAATGTTTACAAATACAAGCGCAGCCGTTTACAGCTCATTTGTGGTGAATGATGTCAGAATTTACCGGTATTTTGGAATGGATGTGTGAATGCTCCTTTCCGGAAAATTTCAGTAACGTCCTCACCTGTGTGAACAGCGCTTTTTTGAATATACCGGTAAAGTCGTTCCGGAAATTTTCCAGATATTTACCGGTATCACTGTGTGAAAGGGGCTAAAGACTCAATAGACCAGACAACGTTTTTTCAATCTTCTATTGTCCAATTTTTTTGAGCCTGTGCGAACTGTTTCAAAACTTAGTTTCCTGTTCTGGAGTAACACCCGGCGTGGTCTTCTGCTGTTGTAGCCCATCTACCTCAAGGTTGGACGTGTTGTGTGCTCAGAGATGCTGTTGATGTTTTAACGAGTGGTTATTTGAGTTACTGTTGCCTTTCTATCAGCGCGAACCAGTCTGGTCATTCTCCTTTAGCCTCTGGCATCAACAAGGCATTTGCACCCACAAAACTGCTGCTCTCTGGATATTTTCTCTTTTTTAGTACCATTCTCTGTAAACCCTAGAGATGGTTGTATGTGAAAATCCCAGTAGATCCACAGTTTCTAAAATACTCAGACCAGCCCGCCTGGCACCAACAACCATGCCATGTTCAAAGTCACCTAAATCACCTTTCTTCCCCATTCTGATGCTGGGTTTGAACTTCAGCAGATCGACTTGATCATGTCTACTTGTCTAAATGCATTAAGTTGTTGCCATGTGATTGGCTGATAAATTTTTTTTGTTAGTGACAGTTGAACAGGTGTACCTAATAAAGTGGCCAGTGAGTGTATATGTGTTTATAATCCAAAAATACAGCAATTGGGGTTGTATTTATAAACTGTTGACTAATGTAATAATGTAAAGTTAATGCTTAACAAATTACAAACTATTTGCTAATGCTTGATAAATGATTTGTGATGCTCAGTTATTATAAAGTGTTTACATGATTTCTTGAGATTATTTAAATAATTATTACAAGTATTATGAAAGCTTCGAAACAGTATATGTTTTAAAGGGATAGTTCATCCAATTGACCAAACCTTTGAGTTTCTTTCTTCTGTTGAACACAAAGGAAGATATACGGGAGAATATTGCAAAATAAAACCATTTACTTCCATACTGTTCCTACTATCAATGTAAAAGGCTGCTGTTTTCAACATTCTTCAGGATATCTTGTTTTGTGTTCAAGAGAGGTAAGAAATTCATAAAAGTTCAGCATCAGTTAAGTTTGAAATGATTAAATGTACATTTTAGGTGAACTATCCCTCTTAAACCTTGGGCACAGTATGTGTGTGGTAGACTACAGAGAAGTGCGCTTACAGATGTGAGGTCAGAGGATGACTCTGGCTTGGACACGTTGTGACTATTGAAGAAAATCGCTTTTCTGTCTGTAAAAACATAAAAACAAATAAACGTTAGTTTAATTAACGTGCAAGTGAACTGACAGCCACTAGAGGGAGGCAGAGGACTATGCTTCAGTTTCAAGAGAAGTACGACAAAAAACAAACATCTCCTGCCAAAAAAACGTTTACATTTATAACCCACTCAAATTCATTACAAGAGACGACAATCCAACATTCCTTCTGAACACACTCCAAATATTAATAAAGCCCAATCATTAATCCTGCAAGATAATATCTGTTTGATGGTCTGTGTAGAGTCTAAATACGCCTGTTATACCAGTGAACCCAACAAACTGACTTTCACAACAGAAACGAGGCATTCAAATGTGATGTACTTAATAGCTTTAGAAAGCCATGTATGTTTTAAAATACATTTGGACATCAATAGTTAATTTTGAAATTCTGCTGCAGAATGATACTGTAATTGGCACAGCCCTAAATAGGCTGATGGAATCAAAATTCAGACGTACACCATAAAATATAAAACAGAAAAGGTCCAGACAGCTTATACAACTAGTGTTTATACTGCAATTTACATGATCAAATCAGTAAATTAATTATGGCCAATTTGTCAGAACAGATATCCAGGTCCCAAAATACAATGTGAAAACTTACTTTTTGTTTAAACTTTGTGTATGTGTATAGTTAATTAATTAAATCATTAATTTAATTAATTTCACAATTTCATGGAAAATATATAAATAGATGTAACGTATACACCAACACTTAAGGTTGGTACAATAAGGTTCTCAAATACATTCATTCAATAATTTTTTTTTTTCGGCTTAGTCCCCTTATTAATCCAGGGTCGCCACAGTGGAATGAACCGCCAACTTATCCAGCACGTTTTTACTCAGCGGATGCCCTTCCAGCCGCAACCCATTTCGGGGAAACATTCACACACACACTCATACACTACGGACAATTTAGCCTACCTAAATCACCTGTACCGCATGTCTTTGGACTGTGGGGGAAACCGGAGCACCCAGATGAAACCCACGCAAATGCAGGGAGAACATGCAAACTCCACACAGAAACGCCAACTGACCCAGCCGAGGCTCGAACCAGCGACATTCTTGCTGTGGGGCGACAGCTCTTTAATACATGTGTTAACGTATTTACTAATCCTTGTTAGCATTAATTAATAATACAGCTGTTCACTGTTGGTTCATGCTAGCTCAGGGCTATTAAAATTATTAACATATATAACTTTACAGTTTAATTAAGTCAGGCCCGTAGCCAGGATGGGTTTAGGTGGTTCGAAAAACACACCCCTTACTGACAAAGTTTCAGAATTTTGTGCCATACATGAGCTCATCTGTCTTATTGTGACTGCTATACCACCATAAATAGTGAAAATAATCTAACAATAAAGTTTTTAAGAGCAAGTAGAATCCTCACAGGTTTGGAGAAAACAGTTATTTTTCATGAGTCCAACATTCAGCTGTGCAAAACACAAAATGTGTGTGACGTCAGTGGCATCATCTTTCACTACTGTATCGTTTATAAATGGAGAAAATATTTTACAAATAACCTTTATTCTTAATCTTGGACCTTTTTCTTCAAACAAAAATGACCAATAAACAGGTGTGAAGCACCAAAAGCACAAGTATAAAATGAATTTAAATACAAATTAGGCTATTGGTGTAACCCATACATTCTGTTCTTTTTTACAAGAGAGGCTAGAAAAATCATGAAGCACAACATTATTATTATTATTATTATTATTATTATTATTAGTTGTAGTAGTAGTAGTATGTTTACATTTTATAGCATTCAAATAAGCAGATTCTGACTGAGGAAAGTTGTTTGTGTTGGCCAGTTTGTTATTTGCCTAATGAATAACAATAAGTCACAGGTTTTAATTTAAAACTTTAACAGGTTCTTATTTTTTTCTAATTATATATACTTATTAAAATAAAGTATTTCTTCATATTTTCTTCAACTGTAAATCTTTAGGAAATATTTTTGCTACATCAAAAAGCGTTTATGATGACCATCCAACAAGCTAATCTAGCAACAAAACACAAAAAAAATTGTGGTTAAAATGCCACTAAAACATAATATTTACATATCAAAATTAAATAGAAAATGAGGCATATAACTGCAAAAAGTTCCCCTTTTTCAAAAAAAAGAACCCCACCCCCTTTGACCAGGCTGGCTACAGGCCTGTAAATATTAGTTAAAGTTGAAAGTAAATGAAAATAACAAATGCTATACGAGTATTTTAGTCATGATAACAACTAATATAATCATATATTTTCTTTTCAGCTTAGTTCCTTTATTAATCAGGGGTCGTCACAGTGAAATGAACAGCCAACATATAATTAATAATAAAAAAAAAAACTCATTATAAAATCATATACAGTTGAAATCAGAATTATCAGCCCCCCTTTGAATTGTTGCTTTTTAAATATTTTCCAAATGATGTTTAGCAAGGAAATTTTCACAGTATGTCTGATAATATTTTTTCTTCTGGAAAAAGTCTTATTTGTTTTATTTCGGCTATAACGAATGCGTTTTTTTATTTTTTAAAAACCATTGTGAGGTCAAAATTATTAGCCTCTTTAAGCTATATTTCTTTAGCTCTACAGAACAAACCATCATTATACAATAACTTGCCTAATTACCTTAACTTGCCTAGTTAACCTAATTAACGGAGGTAAGCCTTTAAATGTCACTTAAAAGCTGTATAGAAGTGTCTCGAAAAATATCTAGTCAATTATTATGTGTTGTCATCATGGCACTAAATATTAAATATGACATTACAGATGCTCATCGACCAATAACATACTGTATAAAATTACTCATTGGCGTGAAAACCAGGATTGTTCAAAACACTAAAATCCCTTCATTTCCTTTAAAAACTTTAAGAAACCCAACGTTGTTCATCGAATTCTTAGAAATCCTTAACCTGATCTTGTCTTCAGAAACACTGTGCCGACCAGTTTTTTTAACTTCTCTATAGGCTTCTTTGATTTGAATAGTGCTGGAAGGCAAGACGTGATGTTGTTCGTGTGTATTTACATGTCTGTGTGTATACTCATGCGCTGTGCAGTTCAGCATGAGTTCAACCCCACAACTATCCTCCACGATTTGCATTAAACTAACAGGTTGCTCTGCTAGTAGCTGTAACTGGTTTGCATGGACTAAAGTACACTGACATATGCAAACAGGTCTGCTCTCTTAAAGCCAGACTCCAGTTGCCGACTGAACTGGCACAAAATATAAATCCACTGATTCAAGTCGGTTTCGCAAAGGCGTCTGGTGTTATACAGTGGGAATGCTGTAACGTAAATCATGCTTAAACAAACTGAACGGTCCAGCCACGGTGAAACGAACCATATCACAGCAGTGACCTTTCATGGAAATAACGTTTCGAAAGAGTTGAAGTGTGAGTTGAAGGTTTACCAGACGGTCCAGATGGGAAGTTCTTGAGTGATGGTCTTTCCACCACAGTATACGACTCGCCCACCACAAACACCTTATACAGCACGGCATTGTGGTTTATAAAACTCTGAATGACACACGGGGGCTTCACGTCCTTTAGGTCCTCAGCGCTGAATATTATAGCCATCTGCACAAATAAAAAAATATGGGAAATGACAAAGCTTTACATTTACGATTGTTGTGGTGAATAGACTGACAAAATTAGCCACTTATCAGGATTTGACACTAAAGTGTTAAGTTGGGTTCACAACAAATAGAAGGAGAATATGTCAATCACGTCAGCTGCTGTAATTAATAGCACTTTGAAGTTATTATGAAATCAAAATTAACCGTATTGATTTTGTTAGCTCACATTGCTAGTTTTGTGGTCTGTGCATGTCATTTAAAAAAATGTTTGCCCTTCTAATCTTTAATTGAATTCTGAAAATCCACTTGCTTGTTTTTTTATTTTTTTTATTTTTTTACTTAAATCGCAGATTACGTATATATCTTAACATTTAGGCGGGACAAACATACCTAATCACGCAGCTCCAACTGTCAGTTTTGACAGCAAACAGTAATGGTAAGGAGAAGGTGTCTGTAAGGTTGTAAAAACTCTCCCCTAACCCTTATCCTGATTTTTCTGAATGAAATGCCTACTTTACTACATTCAATCAGCTCGCACAAGTCATGCTCAGTTTTCTCATTTAATATACTGTTAATCTAGGAACTGCATCACAATACGGGAAAAAAAAAGCGGCAACATCCCGCTCTCCCTCAAGAAGCCAATGTGGAAGTAACTGAAACTACAATTTATCGACTTGCCTTTGGGAGCTGGCTCCAAAAAGTCCAGGTGTTTACTGACTGCAATGCTAAATTGACTAACTTACAGCTGCTAAAAACATGTTTACAGCCTGGTACAAAAGATGGTTTTGGTTCATATAGTTCCGATTCAGTCATATATATATTACTGTTTATGACAATCGTTAGGGAGTAGAATTTTTTATAGCTTATCCGTTTCATTTTTATTAAAGGTGCAGTAGGTAATTGTCTTCAGAAACATTTTTTGTTGTGCTGCTTGAAAGTCTCTTCACAGTCCAATAGTAATGATTATAGTAAATGATCTAAATGTGTTTATATGTGTTTTTATATTCTGGGTAAAGCATTAAAAAGTTCATCCAATTAAATATTGTCGGACCGACATCTCCCATAATTCCGATAGGCAGCTCAGACTGTCTATTAGCAAATGTAGATTCGGACTTCTGCGCATCTGTTCACGCAGATCCGCCATTCGCGTGTGACCGTCTGCATAAGCGCCGGGCGGTCACTAGACAGAACAGGAGAAATCAAATTCTGAATTGAACTTTTTAAAACCTGAATCAATATTGGAGTTACTTTAGCACGCTGGAGGAAGGACGACACCATGGTTAAAGTATTACTGTTAGACAGGTAATGTTCTGTTTTAAAACTATTTTAGTCAGGCTAAGCTTATGTTAGATTGTGTTCTATTAAGAATGACTTATATACACAGACGTGCTGTTCAGCCACTGAAATCTCCCGGTGAAAGATCGATGTGATTATTTTCAGTTTCATAAGGCCCTTTTATAGCATCGATAATGTAGATTTATATTTAGTTTAAAAACAAAACATCAGTAAATAGCGCTATTCCGCCTAACCTGCTTTATTGAGCTGAAGTTGCTTTTATATTCACATTGGGTCATTTTTGAACAATGACAGCCTTACTGTACTGTTTACCATGCTACTCTGAATATTCGCTCTGAAATAGCATGTAAGTGTGGCTGAGTAATAAATGTAATTCCTGCAAGCCGCTGGCTAAACACTAACTAATTTGCGAATGACATGAACTAGTGGACTGTCTGTGTGCTGTTGATGCGATGCGTGCGCTGGCAATTTCAGGGAGTGTGGCGTTGAATCATAGTCCCTTCCCGCTGTCCAAATATAATATGCTAAGCGGTTAGCGTTTTGGCAGATCACCTACTGAACCTTTAAGATAAGTCTGCATAATTAAAGACTTGAGTGACAGCTAGGTCTCCCTGGTCACCGTCATGTCATTCCGGCTGATTAGCCGATGAAGTCTGAAATATACATCGTATTTTTGTTTTGTTTCATGTAGCTTTACAAAGTAAATTGCCTAAATTATTGGAATTATATCCCACAATTATTAGATGATATGGCATGCTGTGTGCACCTAATTGTTTTCACAAACCATTCAAGTGGTCTTCATTTCCCAGGTGAGTCAAATTATATACTTATATACCATCTCTACAAATGTTTTTGTTTTATTTAAAATAATTTATTTTTTAGAATTTTATTTCGACCTTGACTGCACTCCAGAATCTGCAAGATTAATTATATGTAGGCTTTAAAACATTCATCTGAAACGTCGTCATACAGTTTTATGTCTGGATTTCATAAACAGCCTTGCATATTTACTAACACAGACTATATTTCAAGTGTTTGGGGTAATTCATGTTTTTCTCCTGTTTTTCACCTGTCATAAGTACAATGCTTAGTGGCTCAATGTAATACAACAGTGTTTTTAAAAGACTAAACACTTTATTGATATAGTATGCAACCAAGCACATGTGGTAAAGTTACAAACGAGTCGCAGGTAATGAAGTATTAAGCGCTTCTCCCAAAGAAAAGCCTGTCTAAGCAAAATGTAGCTGTAGCTCGGCTCTCGCTCCACCTCTTTGCCCTTGTTTAATATCCCCCAGTCAGTGCGATGACCCGCAAACAAAATGGTCACGGTTGGCCACAAGTACTTGTAGCTTCATTTGCGCTCTTTAGATGATACATCCATAACTTTTACAGTCTATGGAAAAAAAAAATAAACAGTCACAGCTTCTGGTTCATGTGGACTTTCAGGCAAGGCATTTCATTTGCCTTCCATCTTTAAAATGCTTGGAGGTCAGCTCCTATCTCTTTAAAAGGAAAAACACCTAATTTTTCAACACTGTTTGCCAAGGTTATGATTAAATTTGATATTTCAAACCATCAATGAAATTTCACAACAATTCTGTTGCTAAACTTGTCAATCAAACTAAATAGATTGGGGTTGCCTTAGTTAATATGCACAAGAACCACCAAAGGGAATGAGATCTCGACCTTGATCTCTTTTATGACAGTAATCAAAATATATAACTAATATAAGAATGGATAACTTACAAGTTACACAATAACATCCTATAAATACCACCGTGTCGGATTGCGCTAGCCTTCTGAAGTAATTCCCAACTTATTCCTGATGGCAAATATTCTACCAAAATGCACAGGGGCTGCTTTGTTTACAAGTGTGTGGGCATGCAAGAGATTGCTGTGTTCAGATTTACATTTGAATGACAGAGGTACACTGCAAAAAATGCTTTTCTTACTTAGATTTTTTTGGGGTAAGCAAATTAATCTTATGTCAAAAGAAAAAAACAAGATTAGTTTGCTTACCCCATTATTTTGCTTGTTTTAAGGAAAAACTCACTTATTATTGGCATATTATTTCTCAGAACGAGACAATATGTTTTGCTTGTCTAGAAAATGCTTCTTGACATAAGATATTTTAGATATTTAGACTAGAAACAAGACAAAAAATCTAAGCAGGAAAAGCATTTTTTGCAGTGTAGACATTAATTTTAAAAAATGAGGTCAGTCTGGAAAGACTGCTCTTTGCTTTCAATTGTAGTTGTTTAATTTAAAAGTAGAGATTTCAAATATGATGTAGAGTGTCCATATTGACTTTTGCATTCTATAGTCTTCACTATAGTGGACTCGCAGGAAGTTTTAGGCCTTGCAAAACGTACAATTTTATACAATTTTTTCTTTTTCCCCATTTTTTTTTTACTTAAGCAGAAGATGCAATTGAGGTGATCGGTAAATGAAGAGCAGGCAATGAAGGGTGGGAGGGTGATCTGTAAATGAAGAGCAGGCAATGGGGAGTGGGAGGATGATCATTAAATGAAAAGCGAGAAATGAAATGGAGTGTGGAAGGTAAACAGTAGTGCTGCATTCACTGCATGACAGATAAAAGTGGTGCAAGGACTCGGTCTTAAAACACTGTCATTTTTGGACCTACAAAAAAAAAAATAAGACATCTTTTGAAACTGTAAAATAACCTCTTTCTGCCATCTTTGTGACCTTGAGAATGTCCAGAAAAAAATTCAACTCTATGTACATTTGCCTTACAGACGTTAAAAAGTATCAAAAGAAAGCAAATTGTTTAGTTTCAAATGATCCAATTTAAAGGGAAAACAAATACTTAATGTAATCCACAAGAAACACAGACACATCCACTACTGTGTGTCTCTGACTTGATCTCTTAAACCAAATACAAAGAAATCACTAGTTTATCAGTATATTATTCAAATGTTAATGCAGACTCTACATAGCTTTCCCACACATTCACATTCATTACTTTTGCTGGTGAGCTGTGACACGCTTTATGAGTGTTCATGGGAAATTAAAGGCTCTTTATATTGATTTAGGTAGTGTATTATTAAACATATGCTTGGTTAACTACTGGCTTAAAATGAGTGACTTGTACAGTAGTCAACCAGTAGTGTAGTGGAGGGCAGCTCAAGTTCATATCAGTGTTACATGGCGTCTTCAGAAAAATAGTCTTACCTCATGAGAGTTAGTTCCGTGAGCAACCCGTGTTTTGCAAACTGTGCAGGATAAGAAAAAAAGAAAAGCACTCTGAGACAGTGGATGAATGAGTCTGGTTAATAGTACAGTACAGCTGTTTAATACATTATTAATGCAGTAAAATCTCTGTGAACTTATTAGGGATTTAGTGAGGGGAATTAATCAAAATGGTGCCTCTGTTGTGAGTTACTGGAGTGCAGTCATTAGGTTATCTATAAATCGAAGCGTCATAAAACCACATTTCCTGTTATTTTAACAGAGGTGTTTATGCTGAACATAATAGCAGACACTGTCAGCATTTGTTTTTTTTTATTTTAGTTGTCTTAATTGTCATAACAATGATAAAATATATTTTTCAACAGGTTTTGAGAAATTGATGTGTTGCAATTTGTGGATCAAGTGGATCAATTCTCTCTGGGATTTATTCTGAGCTTAGTATTTAACAGCAGATGGTGTTCTAGGCTAGTTTTAACAGCAGATGTTGCTCCAGTCTAGTCTTTAACTGCAGATGGCACTCTAGGTTAATTTAATAATAGATGTTGCCTCAGTCTAGTTTTTAACAGCAGATGGTGCTCTAGGCTAGTTTTTAACAGCAGATGGCGCTCTAGTTTTTAACAGCAGATGGTTGCTCTAGGCTAGTTTTTAACAGCAGATGGCGCTCTAGTTTTTAACAGCAGATGGTTGCTCTAGGCTAGTTTTAACATCAGATGGTGTTCTAGGCTAGTTTTTATCAGCAGATGGCGCTCCAGTTTTTAACAGCAGATGGTTGCTCTAGGCTAGTTTTAACATCAGATGGTGTTCAAGGCTAGTTTTTAACAGCAGATGGCATTCTAGTTTTGAACAGCAGATGGTTGCTCTAGGCTAGTTTTTAACATCAGATGGTTGCTCCAGGCTAGTTTTAACAGCAGATGGTTTTCTAGGCTTGTCTTTAACAGCATATTGTGTTCTAGGCTAGTTTTTAACAGCAGATGGTGTTCTAGGCTTGTCTTTTACAGCATATTGTGCTCTAGGCTGGTTTTTAACAGCAGATGACGCTCTAGGCTAGTTTTTAACAACAGATGGTGCTCTAGTCTAGTTTTTAACAGCAGGTGGCGCTCTATGCTAGTTTTTAACAGCAGATGGCGCACTAGGCTAGTTTTAAACAGCAGACAGCACTCCATTCTAGTTTTTAACAGCAGACTGCGCCACAGTTTATATAGTAGTTTTGAACAACAAATGGCACTTTAGGTTAGTTTTTTAACCATACACTCATGAAGAAGAAGCTCATGTTTTATTGTTTGAGTTGGGCTTTTTAAACGACATCACTTCCTGTTTTAGAATTGAAAGATGTTAGGACTTACTGAAAGGGAATGTAAGGCCATGCTGCTCGATCTGCTTCAGTGTGTCTGGACCACACTCACTGTTCAGAACCATAAATGGAGGAGAACAGATCCGCACATCTGCACAGAGAAACAAACACAAGGAGAGACACATCAGCACTGCTAAACATGATATTGTAAATGATAAATTGATTTAGCAGTGGTGGACAGTCTGCCAGTCTGTTTTAATTAAGCAAAATGCAAAGAATTATCTAAAATTTTTTAATCCAATAACCTTAATGATATAATTTCTACTGTGAGGGGGCGATGATGAAAATAACAGGTGGAATATTTAAGAATACATTTATGATAAAATAAAAGATTAAATAAATAAAAAAAGAACAACTCATTTAAAACTCAATTTTTAAACATTTACTATATAATTATAATTATAAACATACACTCCTATATACTCACACACATACAGCTGAAGTCAGCATTTTTCTTTTACAAGTATTTCCCAAATTATGTTTAACAGAGCAAGGAAATTCTCACAATATTTCCTTTTTTCCTTCTTACACTACCCGGCCACTTTATTAGGTACACCTGCTTGTTAACACAAATTTCTAATCAGCCAATCACATGGCAGCAACTCAATGCATTTAGGCATGTAGACATGGTCAAGACTATCTGCTGCAGTTCAAACCAAGCATCAGAATGGGGAAGGTGATTTATGTGACTTTAAACGTGGCATAGTCATTGGTGTCAGACGGGTTAGTCTGAGTATTTCAGAAAATACTGATCTATTTTCTCCATTTTCTCATAGCTACTTCCAGCAGAATAACGCGCCACTCACAAAGCGCCAATCATCTCAGACTGGTTTCTTGAACATGAAAATGAGTTCACTGTACTCAAATGTCCTCCATTACCCTAACTTGCTTAATTAACCTGGTTAAGCTTTTAAATGTCACATTAAGCTGAATACTAGTGTCTTGAAAAATATCTAATAAAACATATTATGTACTGTCATCATGGCAAAGGTAAAAGAAATCATTAATTAGAAATGAGTTATTAAAACTATTATGTTTACAAATGTGTTGACAAAATCTTTCTGTAAAACAGAAATTGGGAAAAAAATATACAGGGCGCTAATAATTCAGCAGGGTTAATAATTCTGACTTCAACTGCATATATAACTGCACAACACAAAAAATAAATCTAAATCATTCAATCTCTAATCTGAAATGTCTTTATTTAGTATTACTTTAGTAGCCGGATGAGTTCACACATTCACAGAGATGATGTTATTTGGTTCGAGAGGTCTTCAACCATCATGTGCCCTCCGGGTTGCATTTACTTCCTTGTTTATATTAGCGAATGGAGAACACACTGAACACAAGGCACAGAGCGCTGAATCACTGCATAATGCAGAGGCCGGTCAACAGAAACACAGCAATCTGACCCGTGGGTTCAAGCCTTTGTTTGGAAATACTGTACTCGCACAGTCCTGAAGAGCAAACAGAACCATTGATGGAACAAAGGCATCAATAGCTGTGAATGAGGAGCTGTGTTTGCGAATTCCAACCGCAGGCACATTATCGAATAGGTATGAATCATCAAAACAGATGCAAACTGGGCTTAACTTAGGATTAGTAAGCAACTGCCTGGAGACATCAGTGTATTTTTACCTCACTAGTGTACATAAAGAGATAGATCGCACAAAAATGAATGTTTTGTTTGGTTACTTGCCCTCAAGTGCTTCGAAATGAGTTTTTTTCTTCTGCTTAACACAGAAGATGTTATTTTGCAGAAAGCTGTAAACCTATGACCATTGGCCTATGTGTTTTCCAGTGCTATTAGGGCTGGGTGATATAGGAAAAATATATTGTCAACATTTCCCGATATTTAATATACAGTGGGAATCGAAGGTTTGGGCACCCCAGGTAGAAATTTGTATTATAATGTGCACAAAGAAGCCAAGGAAAGATGGAAATATCTCCAAAAGGCATCAAATTACAGATTAGACATTCTTATAACATGTCAAAAAAGTTTCAAAATAACAGAAAACAAAAAAATGGCATCTGCAAAAGTTTGGGCACCATGCAAAGTTTATAGCATGTACTGCTCCTTTGGAAAGCTGAGAGCTGACAGTGTCATGAATTGTTCTCAATCATCATCTGGAAAGACCAGCTGATGTCAATCTCAAAGGTTTTAAATGCCCAGACTCATTTGACCCTTGCCCCAACAATCAGTACCATGGATTCTTCTAATCAGTTGTGTAAAAAATTTAAACTGAAAATAGTAGACGCTCACAAAGCAGGAGAAGGCTATAGGAAAATAGCAAAGTGTTTTCAGATGTAATTAAGAAATGGAAGTCATCGGGAACAGTGGAAGATCTGGGAAACCAAGAAAAATATCAGACAGAACAACTAGCACGATTGTGAGAAAAGCAAGTCAAAACCCAGTTTGACTGCACGATCCATCCAGAAAGATCTGGCAGACACTGGAACTGTGGTACACTATTTCACTTTAAAGAGATACTTGTACAAATATGGTCTTCATGGAAGAATCATCAGAAGAAAACCTCTTCTAGGTCCTCACCACAAAAAAATAAGCATTTGAACTTTGCAAATGAACATATAGACAAGCCTGATGCATTTTGGAAACAAGTTCTGTGGACCGATGAGGGTAAATTAGAACTTTTCGGCAGGAATGAGCAAAGGTACATTCAGAGAAGAAAGGGCACAGAATTTAATGAAAAGAACCTCTGTCCAACTGTTAAGCATGGGGGTGGATCAATCATGTTTTGGGGTTGTATTGCAGTCAAAGCACAGGGAACATTTCACAAGCAAAAAGAAAAATGGATTCAATAGAATTTCAGCTCATTTTGGATGGTAACTTGATGTCATCTGTGAAAAAGCTGAAGTTAAAGAGAGGATAGCTTCTACAAATGGATAATGATCCTAAACACACCTCAAAATTAAAACACACCTCACAGTGGATTGCATCAAGAGGCGTAAACTAAAGGTTTTACCATGGCCTTCCCAATCTCCTAATCTAAACACAATTGAAGACCTATGGATAGACCTTAAAGGCTGATTTATACTTCTGCGTAAAACGCCGGCGTATGCTACGGCGCTGACACATAGCCCTTCACCGTGGCCGTCACTGACGTGCACCTCTCAAAAAATGTAACTACACGTCGCAACGACGCTTAGCGTAAGCTCTGTGATTGGTCGGCTTGGTAGCGCTGACAAGTCTGGGCGGGACCGAGAGCCGCGCGAATGGCGCAAGCGATTGTTTACAAGTGTGGAGTATCGTGAAGGAGATCCGGATGGAAAGTTTTGTTTTGTGTTTGCCTCATGGTTAAAGTTGTTGCACGTCCGCCGGTTCCTGCCTCAAAATGAGCGAGTTTGAGCCACTTGTACATCCCGGAAGTGTTCAGGAAAAGCAAAAAAGCAGCGAAGAAACGACACAGAGAAAAATTTACACCTCACTGCCAACTAGCGTTTCGGAAGAGTTAATGCAGACCGACAGAGACAGCGCGCAGAAGTATTAATGCACAGCCACGCGCGTTGTATGCGCCGTTGGTTACGTCGGTCACCTGACGCAGAAGTATAAATCAGGCTTGAATAGAGCAGTGCGTGACTGAAAGCCCAGAAATTTAAAAGAACTGGAAGACTTTTGTAAGGAAGAATGGGTAAAGATATCTCAAACAAGAATTAAAAGGCCCTTGGCTGGCGATAAAAAGTGTTTACAAGCTGTGATATGTGCCAAGGGGGGCAGTGCATTATTAGATATAAACTCTGCAGGGTGCCCAGACTTTTTCTTTGTTTTCTGTTATTCTGAAAGTGTAAATGATAGAACTAAAATCTAACTTTTTTGACATATTATAAGAATGTCTAATCTGTAATTTGATGCCTTTTGGTGATTTTTCTATCTTTTCTTGGCTTCTTTATGTACATTAATACAAATTTTTACCTGGGGTGCCCAAACTTTCGATCCCCATTGCATATCTCAATATATACATAAAACAAAATTCTTAAACATTAAATTGAGTTTTTAGAAATATTAAACATATATAGGTCAATATTTTCTTTCAGGTGTATGTAGGGAATACTCACTTATTAAACGAACGTTTATGTGTAAAAGAGAAATAAGCAGACAAGATACTGTATGCGACTCAGCTCGTGTGTGAAAATTCCCCATTTATTTATTTAATTATAACCACCATGAACAACTACGCAAATCTAATGTAAAGGATCTAATGTATTTTGAGTGTAAAAAGAGTATTTTAAAAGTGTTTTGTGACCACTCCCAAATTACAGAGTGTGTGTTTCATTCGGGAACTAATTCAATATCTCCTCACCTGTCTTTTCAATTGTGTCATTTCTATTCTGCATTTTGGAAATGTGTCAAACAAGACCCTCCCTCACCTCATGTCTCTTTTGTGCACGTTAATGCTTAAGGGGGGTGTAATATTGGACACTCGGTGCATTCCTTTGGTGAAAGTATACACTTGAATCTAAAATATTCAATATGTGCAATATTTCAAATTTTACACCGTCGACAAAATTATTCAGATATTATTGCTAATATTCCATATATCGCCCAGCCCTATGTACTATGAAAGTCAATGGTTACAGGTTTTCAACATTTTTCAAAATATCTTGTTTTTTGTTTAACAGAATAAAGAGACTGGCAAAGGTTTGAAACAAGTAAAGAATAATGAATTGATGACAATTTAAATTTTTAGGTAAACTGTCCCTTTAGGTACAATTTTAAAGGGGGGGGGGGTATCATGACATTTATTTACAGTGTTAAACTTGTATTCTCATGAACTAAGTATAGAGTATTTCATAAATGTTAATTAGTACTCTAATGCACTTTATTAGCACTATGTTTAGACTATTAATAAGTAATTAGTAAGAGTATTTCTTTGTCAACAAACCCACATCCACATTGGAACCCATTTCAACATTTTTATCATTCATTCATTTTTTTTCATCTTAGTCCCTTTATAAATCAGGGGTTGCCACAGCGGAATGAATTGCCAACTTATTCAGTATATGTTTTAAGCAGTGGATGTCCTTCCAGCCACATCGCAACACTTACACATACATTATGGGCAATTTAGCTTA